GAGAAGCTTGACCTCGTCATTCTGCCTCGCTACAACCCCGACGGCGTCTTCTACTTCCAGCGCACCCTGGCCACCAACTACGACCCGAACCGCGATCATGTGAAGCTCGCCCGCAAGCAGACGCGCGACATCAAGTCGCTCTTCAACGAGTTCAACCCCCATGTCGCCGTTGACATGCACGAGTACAGCGCCACCGCCCGCTACGGCAGCTACTACCACGCCGCCGACGGTCTCTTCTCCGCCGCGAAGAACCTCAACATCCACCCTGACATTCGCTCTCTATCCGAGGAGCTGTTTGCCAAGAACATCGGTTCCGCAATGGAGTCTCGCGGCCTGCGCTGGGAGCCCTACGTGACGGGATCCACCAGCACCAACCCCGAGTTCAAGCCCACTTTTGCCGAGGCCGGTTCCGACGCCAAGATCGGCCGCAACGCCATGGGCCTCACTCAGTGCGTGACTTTCCTGATCGAGATGCGCGGCATTTACCTCGCTGATCAGGAGTTCCAACGCCGCACCGTCGCGGGTCTTACCATGGCCTCGAGCGTGCTGCAGACTGCTGCTGACAACGCGGACAAGGTGTACACCACGATCGAGTCCTCCATCGCCGACTTCAAGACTACCGACGCCGAGATCATCGTCACCGACTCCTCGCCCACTGTCCAGCGCACCTTTACCATGGTGAACATCAACAACGGCTCCGTCGTGCAGGTGCCCATCAACTTTGGCTCAACGACCCCCGTGACTGCCAACATCACCCGCGCGCGTCCCGAGGCCTACCTCATCCCCGCATCCTGGGCTGACCTCGCTGAGCGCCTGCGTGTCGGCGGTCTAGAGGTTGAGACCCTCAGCGAGCCGTACAAGGGCACCGTCGAGGCTTACACCATCACCTCTGCGGAGTTCGAGACCGGATACTACGAGGGCGTCGTTCGCGCCACCGTCACCACTGAGCCTCTCATGAGAGAGGTCAATCTGCCTGCCGGTAGCTTCCTCGTCAGCACGAAGCAGAAGAACGCCGCGCTGGCCTTCGTCGCGCTGGAGCCCGAGAACATTGACTCATACGCGAGCTTCAACATCGTGCCCGTCGAGGAGGGTGACGAGTACCCCATCTACAGGGTCCTCGCGTGAACAGGCTTAATCTAAAAACTAATGTAATTAGATATTGACTAATAATATCAACGACGTTAAGAACATCTCATCGTACATCATGACAGGCTCACTCATGCCCCGATCTAGACAAGCATCTGCCTCCACTCAATCTCCCCCACGTCCTCCTTCCCCGTCATGAATCGGATCCCGTTCCTCAGAATCGTCGCGAGGACTTCCATCTCCTCCTCGTCCCGCGGCCCGTACACCATGATGTACGAGTCCGCCATATGGAACCGGTTCGCGAAGAACGAGGTGCGCGGGACGGAGAGGCGGTGGCGCTCCGCCCAGCCCTTTTCGATGGCGAGCTTCGCGTCTGCCGGAGAGAGGTACATGTGGATCGACAGGTCACCGTGGTGGTGGCCTATCTCTCCGCGAGCGGTGCGGGCTGCTTCCGGGGCGGATTTGGCAAGGACTTGGGGCGCGACGAAGAGGGCCGGGTTGAGACGTTCGTAGAGCGACTTTTTCGTCTCGAGGAGGGCGGGGTTCTGTGTTGCTGCGTTTGTGAAGAGGTTTTGGATGAACTGCGTAGTTGTTAGCTTCACAGCAAGGAAGTCTTTCAATGAGATATAACGTTACCTCTCTCATGTTCTCCGGCGCATGTTGGCTCAGCTGCCTATGCGGCACGATCCCTCCCAACGCCGCCCTCTCGCCCTTCCGTCTGGGCAGGTCCTTCATGTCCTGGTGGTATCCTTCGCTGGGGTAGTCGCCCGTCCATGTCGCGGAGCTCTTTGAGAGCGCAAAGGGGCGGATGCCGATGGTGACCATGAGCCAGCCGGCGAAGTTGTGCGGTACGCCGCCGGGGCCGAGGGCGATGTAGGTGCGGTAGTCGCGGACGGCCCAGATCAGGAGGGATGTGGTGAGCGCGGCGGTGACGGATGTGAGGGCCGGCCGGCGGGAGAGGGTTGTGGTGAGATTTGTGAGGGTTTGGGATGACATTGTGATGGTGAAAGTGCGAAGGCAAGATCTTGGATGGCGATGATTGAGCTGGGAACGGCGGCCGGTTGTGGAGTTGACGAGGAGATAAGCGGCTCAATGTGACAATGAGGTCGAAAGTGATGTCGAAGGAGTTCGAAGGAGGCGCTTTTGGGGAGATGAGATTGGAGGCGGTGGCTGACGTAGCACGATTCGCATTCGCGACTTGGTGAAGCGCGGGCGCGAGGGACGTCCGGGAATTGCGGGGTTAGTCAGCCCCGCTCAGATCGGACGGGGCCGTGCTTTTGGGGCCGGTGCGTTGTGGGACTTTATCGGTGTCGGAGACCGGTAACTCGGCCGAGAAGGATGGAGACGTTCATCACTTTTGTATGTATGAATGGGTCCCTCTGGCTAACCCTTTACATCACGTTCTCAATGGGAGGTTGGATGATGTCTAGCAGATCTGAAAAATGGAATCCATCGTGTGCCATGGAGAGCTATAGAGAATTGAAGAAACGTTAGGGGCCCTTGTGAACACCAAAAACACAGCCGTCCACTACCTATACGGGAGTGGACAAGGAGGATCTGCTTGTCCGTATCTCATCCGCTGTTGGTTAACTTTGGCTCCCAGGTTTAGCAGAGAGATAACTGGTTTTCTCTGACTCTACCTAAACGCAAAACTCACTGCACAGCACAGAAAAGTGTTGGTATTAAAAAGATTGTCTACTGAGATGAAACCTCCACGTGCGGTGTGCGGCAGTTCGACGACAGCAAAGCTCGCATATTTGTAGCTCATTAAGCCAGCTTGCCTGTTCATTCCCTGAATCCTTTGCATATCCTTTTGCGCAAATCTCCCTATCTGCGTCAGACCAGTGGGACAAAGAATGGGTGCCTGACACCCTGAGAGCCATATGGCGCTTTCGCGAACATGCATGGTCATGAAGCCGTCAAGGTCTCGCTGATTAGAGTAAGAGGACAAAACTTTGAAAGTAATGCGGACAGGTGCAAGGGAAAAATTTTAAATACATCATGCCACTTGTCAAGTTCTATTTCTTGATAGACCCGAGAATCTCTGCGAGCACTCGCCACTTTCCACAACTTGAGCAGCCATTCGCTTCCCACAGTCGCTAATCCACAACTATTTGCATCAATATCAACTTCTACAAAATGGAGTCGACTCGACAGAAACCTTCGTTCCCGGGTCTTTCCATTCTCGACGTACCGAACGATATCCTTCTCTGCATCTTTGACTCCCTCGACCTTCACGACCTATTCATTTTGTCACAAACCCATCCAAGATTTCGCAACCTCATCAAAAAATCTGTAAGCGAATGGATAGCCGATGTCTACAGCCTTCCTTCGAATGATATTTTCCGATTTTGGACGGGCTTGGGCTACACTCTGCCGGACCATTACGTGTGCGAAGGCTGTTTTCGATTGCACCGCTACGGTATTCCTCACCAGGATCTCGGATCCGTCTTCCAACCCCAGGACAGCGGTACACGCCATGAAGTACCCACCTACAACCCCAACAAGATATTCAGAGGCAAGATCGACCCCCATATTTATCGTCACGCGGACATCCAAATCGCCTTGAAGTGCCATATGAGAGGCCTGTTCGAAAACCAACTTTACAAACGAGTCATGGAGCCGCGCAGGGACAGATTCCAACCGAGCTATCTTTACACTGGGAATCTTTGGGCCTGGAAGTCTGTCCCGAAGATCGTCCGCGGAAGGTTTCTCGTTGCAAGAGAAGTGAAGATCGATGCTGGTGTTGGCTTAGGGTTTGCACTGAACATTAGTCCCATCTGCCCTCACGAACATGCATACTTCGACCGCACTCATTCGTCTCTTTTCACTGGACAACCTGTTAGCTTAGCCAGTATCCAGCTCCCTCCACCCTTTGCGCCGCCGCCTCCTGCGCCCACCCTGAATACAACTGCGAAATTCCAGCGCGCTGCTGATTCCGCACAACTCCATCCGGGATCGGAGTTTGCTGGGTCATGCGACCGTTGTCCGATTGATTTTGCTGTCACCTTCGAGGGAAACATGTATTGCATTCGAGTTTGGAGCGACTACGGGCCTTACGGAACCCCGATGGATCTCAGCTGGAGGGTGCATGTTTTCTGTAAGACAAATCATGACACCCGTGGTCCAACCTTATACCACGACCCTGGTTCTGTGCGAAGAATGTATGAAAGAGGATACTAGAATGTCAAAGGCAGTGTCTCAAGTCGATTTGGGTTCCCAGAACGAACAACTTGTGTCAAGCTGCTCAACTAGAGTTTTAGACACTGTGTATCCGCAGGCATGGTCATTCGAGACGTGGTTATCTCAAGATAATCCATCTAATCGTTTTTTGTGGGAGCAGAAATTACAATTGTGGGTAATAAATTACTCTTCTCCGCCACGTCGTGAGACTTTCCAAACCGAGTGAAACCTGGCTATCGAGTTGTTGAACTTCCATGATGCGGTATTTGTAAATGAGGTCTTCTGGGTTTCCGGACCGCAGGGACACGCAACTCGCGGAGGTTTACATGTACATCCCTGCAGACATATCTGGGACGCATCTGCTACTGATCACTTCTTCCCAACCTTTATATTTGAACGTAATGCTGATAAGACGTTGACTGTCACGCTTCATAAATCCGCATCTCTGGAGTGTGCTTACGGCGAGCTCACGTCTCCCTCGCCGAGTACCATACACTTTCGTTCGTGGCCCGGCTTCGTCAGGGCTGGTTCTAAAGATGTTGTCAAATCTGCTGTTGTATCATTCTCGCGTTGACAGTACTATAGTTCCTGGAACAGCGCTGCTCGGAACACTTGCATTTCCTTCGCAATCAGCTCATGAGAAAGCTCACTAGAATGAGCAAGTATACTTCGGTCCAGAATATGCAGAGATCGTCCTGGCAATGGCTTTTGCAGCGTCCATGTCATGGCCCTTATCGCCGCCCAAGCATCACCATCAGGTCGTCCTGGCCTCCGACCAACGTCTCTCGGTGCCCAGCCCCATCGACCGGAAAAGGCATATGGCGTGTCGGCTGCCTCTCATATCGCCCTCCTCGTCCCTTTCCATCGGCCTTGGGCACGTGGGTAGTGCCCCAGTCCATCGCCCGCAAGTCCTTCACGTCTAGAACCCAGGTTCCGCGCCAGTTCTCTTCCTCTTCAACCACCTGGGCCAGTCTCCAGGGGAACTCGTAATTTGGGCGGTACACCCATCCCTTTTTGGCTCCTAATGTCGATTTATGTTTAGGAGCTGTATGGTCCTCGGACCTATGGCAAGTACATGTGCAGCAGGCGACTTTGGTGTTGACTTTGGCGTCGATTTCGGCGTCGAACTTGATCTCGGCCTTGGTGTCGACCAGGACCTCAGTGTCGACCAGGAGATCGGTGTCATGTTCTGGTTTTTCCTTCTTGATGCCGATTATACGGCCAAGTACGGCGAGGCATTTCTTTGCACGGTTCATCGTCGAAGCTGTGTACGATGTTCCCCCTGAAAGATTGTGTGACCGTAAATTTGCCCTTTTGGTGTTCATAGGTTAGCCAAGGGTAACCACTAATAACCTTCAAGTACTATTGCTTGATAATGTAGATCATGAGCTGGTGGGTATATACTGCTTTGACAAATGCTTCGGGGTCGTATCGTATAGCCAAGTCTGTAGCGTCCAGTGATATCTGCTCGAGGTCAGCGAAGAAGATAGATAGTGGAGTGGTAGTAGTTCTGCCTCGTGCGCCTGGTGAACTTGAAGTTTTGAGACGTGCCGAAAGTGCAGATGTGTTGCGTGCTTACTATCCAGCTGGAGGGAGCTATGCAACAGAAATTTTGCTCGCTGTTGCCTAATGCCCGAGAGAGGAAAGAGTGCTTTTTATCTTGAATACGTGTTTCAGTTTCCAGGTGGTACAGGTACTTCTCTTCGGACGCTGGGGATACTTACGGTTTCGAGGCAAAGTCTTCGAGTCTTCGAAGCAGAGTCCTTCTCGTAGAAGTTGACTGCTATAGGGATGTTGGCGAGGCAGCAGCCGGCTTTTATGCCTTCTGGCAAGGTTCCCAAGGACCTTGGTGGAAGGTTCAGAGCATCAAAGGAGTCATCGCCGTCATGTGTGCTCTGGCGTGGACTGTAGGCGCTGGAGGTCTATTATTAGTGACCGCACTTTGTTCTTCGTCACATTCCGAAAGTCAACCGTAAGGTGCATCAAGTTCCACGTAAGAGTGCCAAATAACGGAGAATGTACCGTCGGAAGAAGCACTCCGGTGGAGTCGGCGTCGAAGTTTTACACGAACTAGATAAACCGCACGAATTGATTGCAGTGTCTATCTGCGTCAAGTTGAGCAAGTGTCAAAACTTTGGTTTCATTCCCTCTCAAGGCTTTGTGAATGCCCCTCGAATGACACTTTGGAATTTAATGTATGCACTTGCGAATCGATCACGTGGATCAAGGTTCCAAGAGTCTTGAGCAACACCCCTTGTGGGCTTTACCTTGATGATAACATGGTCGTAACTGAACGTTTAAACGGTCTTTACGTCTTTTGGAGCCCACAGATCCTATATAACTCGTTTTGGGGGAAAAAACTGGCCAAAACCTGCCCATTTACCACCATAGCACTCGGCGATTTGTTCTTTCTGCAGCCCCCATTTTCCTGGCCCATTGAACTGCCCAGTTCAGTACTGACTAGCTATCATGAGCTGGCTCAAATGGATTGAATACGTCAAAGGTTGTGGTGGGAGACGGCGAGTTCGCATCCGAAACCTAGCGAATCATTCAAATATTCTTAGCCTTCCCCGCGACGTCTTATTCCTCATCACGGATCAACTCGAACTACACAATCTTTTCATTCTGTCGCAAAGCAATCCCGTCTTGCGAAGCTTCACTCATAAACACTGGGCAACCGAAGTCTCCGCGCTCCCAAAATATCAACAGCTTGAATTCTGGACGGGACTGGCATACACCCTACCGAACCACTGGGTTTGCGACGTATGTTGTTGCCTCCATCGTCTTCCCGAGTCACATGTGCCTCACAAAAGACTATTACCAGGCTGTTCTCATGAAAGAGGGCGCGGGCTCGGACGTGTGTACGATATTCATCACTCGCACATCCAGATTGCATTGAAGCATCAGATGAGAGGGTCGCCTTATAACAAGCGCTTCGTGGAAATCATGGTGCCTTACAGCTGGTCGGATTCGTGGGGAAGCAGTCGACGAACCTACGAAGCGGCCCCGAGAATTGTTAACGGAAGATTTCTTCTGTACATGGATTGGAAATTCACGAGCTGTGACTTCCAGTCAACATTCTTTGTCTACGGGCTGGCTGCGAACAAACTCTGTCCTCACACAAATGCGCTGTCAATCTATCAGAATGACATCCGTCCTAGCATGGATGTTCGCAGCCACTGGTCGCGCGCAATATCCAATGAAAATGCTGACACTGAGCATAATGCTATCACGGTATCTTCTAATTCAGCAGCAAATTTCTCCGGCTCGTGCAGCCGGTGCCCTACTGACTACTTGGTCACGTTGGATGATGCTGAGGACAAATTCCGAATCGAACTTTGGCAAGACTTCGGGTCGTATGCATCTCCCGAAAACACAGGTTGGAGGGTGCACGTAGATACCGACAAAAACAATACAGCGGGAGGTGCCTCGTTATATCACATACCTGGTTCAATCCGCGAAGCATATCAAAACTCCAATGCTACAGACACGAAATGCTGAAAAGAGAGCAACTACTTCACCAATACGGCAATCCTGGCAGGCTAGATATACGAATCTTGCGTATATTGGATGGTCAAGTTTCAATTTCAACTGCATCTATCATCGCTATCAAGTTGCTCTGGGTTGACATCCTTCCTCACAGTTGCTACAGCCGTGTATTTTGGCTTTCTCAGCTGGTCCTCCTCTAGACATGGCCGGCACTGCTGCTATTTACTTAAAACACTTGGTTAGGAGTGGCTAATCGGCAGAATTGACAACAATCAGCCCGGTCCTTTCACCAAACGCCAGGAAACAAATTGAACACCGCGTTACGCTCTTGAAATGCGAGCCGTCTTTTCGTAACCACTGCTTTACGTGCATGCTTAGAAACTCGAAATCTGTAACAAACAATTATGCTCAAGAGTACTGGGCTTGAGGTTTTCCTGTTCGTAAGGTTCGGTCGTAAGCGCAGGCGTGCATCCTGCTCCCTGAATACATTCATTCGTTCAGACCGGGCCTCGGCCTTGCGCTTTCCAGTGCCTGTGAAATTTGCTCTAGGATAGCTGATAACTTGGAAGGCGTGTCAGTAGGGTCATTGCATGATGCACGGCACGAACTGTTAAGGCCATCAGATGCAAGTCAGACCAGCGACATTCATGCCAGAATGAATGGGGCCAACGTCCTTTTGTCCCCAGGTAGAAGACCAGGAGCGACCTCGAGACCATGTCGATCCAAGGAAGTGCAATATAATGCAGCTGCCTTCGCACTGAACACTGTCACGTACGCTTTCCCAAATTTGTGGCGACCTAGTCTGGTCTTTCCCAACACTTACTGGCGCGGAACATTGAGCACAGCCCAAATGGCATGTTTGCTACTTCCCTCTTCACATGGCACCAAGATTTCTCAGCGACTTCTCTTGCCTTTGAAACCGTTCATACCCATTAGGCCAGTACTCCTCCCATGAAAGGTGGAAGCATGTCTCTGCTCCTGCTACCAACTCGAAGATTTCCCCTTTGATGTTTCCCAGAATATTCCACAACAGCAGTTTCGAAGGGGATAAAATGTCCAACCTCAGACGTCGTGTTTACTTCTCCTTTCTTGTTGGACTCCAGCCATCGTCAGCATGACAGTCACAGACTGGATTACCGCGTTGGCTACGCTCGCTTTGGCCTTTATGGCCATCATCACAATACAAGGCACGTACACCCCCATTCGTTACCCCACGCATTCAGAGGAGATTGCAGCACTTCGTAAAGAAGTTGCGGCTCTTCGCCTGGTGCTAGACAACTATCACTCGGATCTACTCTCGCTTCAGGACAGACGCCAAGCGGAAACGGTGTACTGGCAAGCGTTAGCGGCGTCTCTCGAGCGTCGCTAAGAACAGAATTATGCTGACAATGTTAGAAGCGGCCTTTCCCGGTCGGGCCAGCGCTTCTAGCGAGACCGGGGGGTGGGTGGTCGTGGGCCCCAGCAGATTGTCTTCTACCTCACCGTGGTTGCTGGGTCTAGTAACCTCTCAAGAGGCGAAGCCAAGAGGAGACATGTACGCATCCGACTCGCATGACCAATGTCAACATCACTTCTGTCATATCGACGATCGATCCACGTATGTATCTGACGAGGGACATGATGCAGCAACTTCACATGCTTCCATGTGGCTAACACTTCGATGTGCAGAACCAAGACACCTTTCAATCCCGTTGCTGTTCTCCGACCCCCTTGACGGATGGGAATACATTCGGCCTTTGGTCACTTTGTCCATACCGGGAGCAGGCCCTGTGAGGCACGAGTTTTGTAGGACAAGAGCAGGTCATCTGTGTTCAGATGTGGTATGCACATGTGGAACAAGTCGTGATTCAACCCATATAACGATGTAGGGGAAGTAAGAAAAGCTGTCTGTGGAGTACCTGTGGTAGTCGAAAGTTTTGGTTAAGGAGAGATATTCTTGTTGACCTAGATCTGTTGCCTAGAACAATGGAAGTGGTTTCGCTTGACATTGACGCTGTGCTCTACTTTTGCTTCTTCTCGGAACCGGTACGGCCGTCCTCCGTAACCATCCTGATCAACCGCATGTACCAGCTCGCTCCAAGAGCAGTAAAGATATGCCACCACCCATGCAACTCCAATAACCACGCGACCGGCAGTCCGACCGCCTTCCTCGCAGCCCTCAACTCGGCGCAGTACTCCAAGTCGATATGCCACAGCGTGAAGCCAAAGATCAACGCAAAGACGGCCTTCCAGAAGTAGCGCATGAAGACCTTCTTCTCCTCCTTGGAGTGCAGCCCCGTCCAGTAGACCAGGTACAGCGTGCGCGGCCAGACGAAGGTGAGCAGCGCGGTGAAGGTCATGACGTGGATGAAGATGTCGCCGGAGCGCACGTAGATGACGGCCATGGTGCCGATGCCGCCCCACAGCAGTGCGATGACGGCGGCGCCGACGAGGGAGGACTGGCGGTAGACATAGAGCGGCTGCACGAGCGAGCCGGCGAGGATCAGCATGGAGAGGTCGTCTAGGAGCTGGGTTTCCTGGTGCATCGTGCCGTGGAAGACGCCGGAGAAGATGCCGACGAGGAGGAGGCCGACGGATTGGATGTCGAGGGTGCGGTACCAGGGCACCGACGCCTTGGAGTTGGCGCGGGGGTACTTGAGGGCGAAGTAGACTGGTAAAAGGTCAGCAAATGTGGTTCCTGGGTATGGTGATGGAAAGACTCACTGTAGGTGGCATTAGATAGGCAGTTGATGAATTCTGCGATATACCTCGTGAAGACGTAGTCCTCCTCGCAGAAGCTGAGAGTGCGGTCTAAGGTCAGCATCGCATCTCAAAAGGGACTTTTGGTGAGGTGAGTGGAGCGGTAGCGTACTTGGCTTTGCTCGTGGGGTATCCCCAGATGCCCTCCCCGGCAGTCGGGTCGTCCACAAAGCGGAGTGTTTGATGCTTGTGACTCATTTCGGGAGTAGATGCTCGATGATGCTGCTCAGGGAGTATTAGGTGGTTGTGTTGACGATGGAGAGAACGCGCGTGGTTCGACGCGACTCAAGGCGTTCGTTGGCCGAAAGGGTCGTCGATCGCGGAGAGCGGGACCAATCGGGATGACTAACGCGATGCAACTTTTATCACGAAATCCGGGAGTGTCCTTTGCGCATTCACGATGTCGACAGTTTGGTGTAACGAAGGTGGTTTAACGACGATGGTTCATCTGGACCTTTTTTAAGGCCACGCAGTCGGATGGCAGGGAGAAAAAATGCAACTCCATCCGTTCGGTTGCGCGTAGCTGCAGGGATTGCCGCGAGGATCCACTCCACTCGAATGGGTCCGGCCGCGATTCCGCGGAGCCCGGAGCCGGATCCGAAGGCATTTGACGGATCCACTCCCAGGGGTTCAGCCGAGGCTTCTTGGGTTCTTCAGCGGCAAGGCCGGAGGTTCACGGCGGAGTTGCTGAGTACAGGGAGTCCGGACTCTGCAAGTCCGTGTCCGATGTCACAACGGCGATTTCAATTGTTTTTCGGCGCGAAATTGTGTTGGATTGAAGTTGATACATATTTAGGTATCATGCGAGTATCCTCACCGATTTTTTTCAAGCCTGTGGGATTTCAGCATAGCCCATTCCAGGCTGCCATACCGTAGACGTACCTTAGAGCATTTGAAAGCCCCATCTCATGAATCTCCCCTCGTCTCACAGACCTCCGAAATCTTCAAGATCCGCAACTTCTCCCAGTTCAAAAACTGCTCATTGTCCTTCTTCAACCGTTCCATCGCCTCGCCACTGTTCGTCGCTGCGAAGAACGCCTGCGCGGCCGCTTCGTCCTTGAACGCGACCTCCACCACAGCGTCGGCCTCATCTTCTCCTTTCGCTCCGGCGAGCACCATGGGCTTGCCGTCATCTGGCGAGCGCGCTATATAGCGGCGCGAGTGTAGCATCGGGAATAGTGAGCCTGTAACTTCTTTCGTGAGGGGCACGTGGACGTTTTCATAGTGGTCCTTGAACTCGGCGTGCGAAAGACCCTCTTTCCGATGAAGGAAGATGAGCATGCGGTACGACATATTGGTGGTGGTGATGAATGATGAGCTAAAATGGTGTGAGTTGAGATTCGTTGGACAGCTTTGTGGGGTACAACGGCCTTAAAAGTACTGGGAAGCTTAAAATTCGACTGCGCTCCTACGCTGCGCCGTAGGGCGCTGCCGTCTTCAACTTCGGACCGAAACATCTGGGTTCCGGCAAGCCCGGATCCGCCCGGAGTTGCCCCAGTGTGCTTCATCCCGATCATATATTCACTTTCTGACAGATCGTGGAAGGCTGGCAGTAGTCCAAACGTCAACCTCGGCTTGATGAAAATCAAGGGGTCATTTTTGATTTACTCATCAGCTATTTCTGAACCAGCCGAGAGCATGCTCGGATAATAAAGTTCCCAGGGATCACGGCTTGAGTCAGCTATAAGTTAATTCGGGCCCAAACTTGTCATAAAGAATCATAAGATTGATTAAAAGTATGTATCTCGCGTCATCCGACTGCGCCGATGTACAAAATCATTTCCGAAGATAATCGAGTCAACCGCACAAAACTCCGACCGTTCATTATCTACCATAGCCCAGAAGCCTGTATAGACCCGTGCGCCATTGGATATTATTTTCATGAAGTGCATCCACGTCTCACACTCTCTCCTCTAGTTGCGGTTGTTGACGGGAGGAACATCAACAGTGACACTGTCACCGTTCTCAATGTCCTCAGACACCTTCTTGGCGGCGCCCTTGTTGCCGACGCTGTTCAGCCACTTGTCGAGCTTGAACTGGTCGAGGATGCGGAAGCCCTTGGTCGCAGGAGGGAGGACCTTGGTGCACTCGGTAAGCTGGTTGATGTTGTTCACGCCAAGCAGCGACAGACGGATGTACTCTCTGGCGTAGTCCTGTCGTCACAGTTAGTCAAGATACCCCAACTCCATAAGTCAGCAGCAAACATACCTCGTTCCAGTGGTTCTGTCCACCGGGCCCAGCAAAGTCCCTAAACTCCTTGCTGGTCTCGGGGTGCTGCGAAATGGCGATATCCGAGGGGAACTTGAACACACGGGGCGGCGAGCGGTCGCTCAGCGTCTCCTTGTAGTAGAGCACATCCCACACACCGGGCGTGCTGTCCTGCGGATCGCCCGCCCGCGACACGTTGACAAAGTTCTGCTGGCTCGTCGTGTGCGCGCCCAGCAGCGCAACCAGCCCATGCGGCCCGATCGTCTTGTCCTTGAACAGCTGGATCAGCTGGTCCGCGGGCGCAAACGGGCTCGGCAGCAGGCCCGCCGGCGCGGGGTTCGCGCTGTCCTTGCGGCCGACGTACGTCTTGATGCGCGGGCCGAGCGGGCACACGACCGTCGCGACGTTGGCGCCCATCTGGATGAAGTCGCCCATGCCGATGTTCCAGCCCATGGCCTTGTACTTGCCGTGCAGCTCCGCGAAGCGCGCGGCGACCTCCTGCAGCCCGCGGTTCTCGAAGCGGCCGATCTCCTCGCCGGACAGGATGATGCTGCCGTCGGCGCCGCCGCCCTGGCCGGCAGTGGCCTTGGACCAGGTGCCCGCGTCGTGGAAGCCGAGGCGGACGGCCGCGCGCGCCCACTTTGTGCAGCGGCCCGAGGAGCCGGCCATGAACTGGTACATGTCGTCGGCGACGTAGCGCCAGACGCAGCAGGTGTCCTTCTTGCACTTGTCCGAGTTGAGCGCGGGCACGGAGAGGAGGTAGCGGTCGTTGGACTCGGGGGTGCCCTTGCCCTGGAGGAGCTTCTTGACGTCCTTGCCGACGGGGGTTAGATCGCGGTCTTTGAGGGTGATCAGGTCGCCGAGGAGCTCGGTTGAGTCGCCTTTGTCGGAGGCGCGGGACATGATTTCGGACATTTGGTTGCCCATGCCTGGGTAGGCGAGGGTGCCGGAGATGGCGAGGGAGGTTGTGAGGAAGGATGTGAGATGCATCTTGTGTGAGATGTACGGAGCGAATGTGGGAAAAGAGAAGAAGGGAAAGTAGTGACTGGATCAGACCTGTGAGGGTCTTTGATGATGAAGAAGAAATGGAAGAGGAGCTTGAACTGCTGAAGAGATAGGAATCATCGTCAAGGAGGGGGAAGACGACGATTCCTTATATCCCTTCTGCCAAGATACGGCCGTCCATCACGACCCTACTATCTACTTGAGGTAACCATGACCCAGAGGCCTCAGACACACCACAAACCAACTCATAACAGCTCGAAAATCGGAACGTGCATGCCTGCTTCCTTCGGGACAAGCCTCTTAGCCTCACCCGTTCCTGAGTCTAAGCCGACGCCAAAACACTTTTGTGTCGAACTAGCTCTACTAAGATCTCCCCCGGACACGAGAGAGTGAGATGGTGGATGGAGCGACAGGCCGCCGCCGGTGCACCGCACCGCACCGCACACCGTCCAGCTGTGCCAAGAAGAACCCGGTCGTATGCCTCAGCCGTCTTCTCGAATAGCAACCCGCTAGCTCCAGGTAAGAAAACGCAAAAAGAAGTGACAGCGAAAGCCCCCCGGACCGCAGGCAAAGGAGCAAGAAGCATATCACTCCTTAGCGTCCCAGCTTAGACCCTAGGCATCAAGCGCGCTGCCCGGACTGCGCGCCTCCCATCATCCGCCTCACCAGCATCAGCAGATATCCCTCGGCCGCGATTCGTCGGACGGTAAGAACAACACCGCATTCTGACATGTGGAGAGAGAGCAAGTTGAGAGATACATCATGAGCAATGGGAAGGAAGAAAAGAGCCCCATGCGGGCAATAGCCGCATCTGCAATGCAACACACGCTAAGCCGGGGCTTGTCTCCTTAGAATAGACTCAACATTGCATGAGGTACGAAGTATTACCCCCATAAGGCAGAAAGGGCAGAAGAAGCATAACAGCACCGCAGACATCTCTTCGTTTGGCTTGAGCAGATAATCCCCTTGTCTCACCGTGCAGTCGGCCCAAAGTCTCGTATCGCGCACCACTTGGCAGCCACGCCAAGATCGACGGCGCGGGATCGGGGTGGGGATTGGATGAGTGGGAGCGTTTAAGCTTCTTCTGCGTGTCCGGCGCCACCAGCAGGGGTCTTACTCCTAAAGGGAAACATTCACTTGGTAGGGTTGAGAAGAGATACATACGATGCAGAGAAGAAAAGGGGGCGCACAGCTCCTCCCGTCAGAACAGTCAGACCAAGAAAGCTGGTAGTTAGGCCGTCAGACCTCTCTCTCTTCCCACACTCCCCCAAGACACACCGTTGCCTAGGCTGCAAAAGGGCTGGTGCGTCCGTGACGGCGGGATGAGCTTATTGGGGAAATAAAGAAAGCGGTGCGTCGGGATCTTGCAGTCTGATTGGCTGAAAGAATGCTGATGCTCTCTGTCCCTTTCTGTGTGTTTTCCTTCGAGATGCATTTTTGCTTGTTTGTCGGTGTGTCAACTCTCCCGCATCGACCACCCGCCTGACGCTATTGAACGCCTCCAATGCGCTGGCAGGTGAGTCCGCTGGAAAACTCCCAGTTTCTGACCATCCCCTACCACCTGATTGGGGGAGCGAAAGCGAAAAATGGTGAGGCATCTGCATCCGAATTTTCACGATTCGATGCTGGGGGGCGGGGCGGAGCGCCGGAAGTGAATACGGACGGCTCACCTCGCTGCCGGCGTGCTTCACGATTCCCGCCGCTCGGATGAACCGAATAAGCTGTCAGACTCCGCAGGTATACGAGCTCTTGTCATTATGTGCTCATTTCACCGCACATCATGGTGTGCCCTGTCCTGTCCTGTCTCCCAGGGGTCCGGTAGGGCAGAGACAGGAGGATAAACGGGAGAAAAGGGGCGCGGCGCGGCGGGACCAAAGACACGGACCGCAGGCCAAAGGATGGGAATGTCTTTGCCCTGTGATGCTGGCTGGTGTACTGGTGCGACCCCGCGCCACGAGGGATCTCAAACTCAGCTGCTTCTTTTT